GGCATGGCAAATCATAGACTTGGTATTAGGGATAGAGACAGGATAGACGAGGCGGCGATTGGAGCTAGTTGGTCGACAGTAGGTTTTACAAGAGACATGGTATATGTAGGAAAGGCATGACCATGAGACTTACTCAGAGGCTTTAGCCTCGAATTAGTCACCCAGACGCAGGGGTGGGTTAATTACGCCTCGAATAGCACAGGTGGCTGGGCAGGGGTCGAGTGAAATACATGTACCAGAGAGATAGCAGATGGATTCGACGCGTAAGAGGAAAACTTTGATATAACCCAGGGAAGGACTACGTAACAATGTGACAGACTCTGGTCAACATTCCCAGCACAAGGGTGAAGTGGGTGATAACGACAGTGTGGAGTGTGAAGGGTTTTCATGAATGCCACTCGAAGAAGCACACGACAATACGGTAAAAACTGTGACAGGGAAGGCATGATAGGATGACAGGAAATGCGAATGGGCAAGGGCAGAAGGGGAGATACTATAACTATTTGGCACACGTTTGGTCAAAGGATGGGCTTCACTTGTCTCTTTGACGAGTTGCAATATGGTGCTACGAATGGCGAGACTCACTGACGATGCCAGAGAAACGTCTGTTAATGTACCACGTCCACGGTCTGCTCTGGAAATAATGATGCATACAATGGACTCCGGACAAGGTGCGTTCCTCTGAGTCTTACTTCGCAAAAGTTGTTCTCATCCAGAGTGGATTGCAGTTTCGACCTCTCCTCAACACACCCAGCGGGATTCGAACCGTGAAAGTGCAGAATGTGAGCTTGACACGTTAACCCCTCGGCCACATTGCCACATTGCAATTATGTCACAAGGAGAATGTAAATTTCAAGGAAGGCCTGGCATAAAATATTCTTTGGTGGAAGTGCCTATGAAGCAAACCTATATTTGCTACAAAAATCGACTAAGTTACGTATTTTTCGTATTTAAGTAAAGTTTCGAGACTTCTACTCGACAATGTGGCCGAGTGGTTAACGTTTCAAGCTCACATTCTGCACTGTCACGGTTCGACTTTCGCTGAGCCTGTTGATAAGACCGATGCAGGATCGAAACTGCAGTCCATCCTGAATGACAACAACATTTGGGAAAGCAAGGCTATGTATAATTCAATGAAAACGTCAGCTCTACACATATAATTGTGGAAAATCTTTACTACCAGTCTTCCATCACCTTAAAAAAATTGGATGAATCCATCTCATATTACTGATTTTATGGTAATCTCAAAACTCTACTTAAAACTAAAAATAAAAATAGGAGGGATGAAGACAAAGATGGTGTGGCCTATTGTGTGGTCGAGGTCTCCCTTCGTTGTATAGAAGTTGTTTAACCTTGATTTCGCAACTCGGTCATATTGGTAGGAAGACTTAGAGGGACACAACTTGTCTGGA